GATCCACCTATTATGACAACCACCATCTTTTTCTTGTGATATAATTATTTCTACGTTAATCTGTCTTTTCTTTTTTTTCTTTCACACACCTGCCATTTGGAGTTTGAAGGTTTCCTCCATTCAGGCGTGAGCACTCTCAGAATACTCACTACCTGTCACGTCTGGTGTCTCGTCTCGTCTTGATTACCTATTGTGTACACCTGGGGTTTCCCTCCCTCTTGTGTTTAAATAGTCCTGTTTCCCCTTGTCTGGCGCGAGTGCGTTTTCGTCTTTCGTCCGTCTTGTCCGTCGTCTCCCCCACGCCAGGTCTGTTTGCCATAGTTTTTGTCATAGTCACAGTTTTGCTACAGTTTTGTTAATCTTTATTTTGTTACTTTGTCAAGTCATAGTTTTTGCCACAGTCTTGTTTGCTCATTGCTTTGTTACTTTGATCACAGTTTTCCACAGCTTTGCTTTGTACTTTGTCTGGACTCTGTTTTTTGTTACAATAAACCTTGTTCCCCTCATCTCCGCAACTGAGTCCTCCCTTCAACACCAACCTCCCTGACACTACCGTCCAAAAACATACATAACCAGTGACCCTAAGCTGACCCTAGGAGTGAGTGTGTGAGCCTGTAGGGCTGCTTGTCTCATTTGTCTCTTTGTGGACTGTTAACCTGTCTCACCTCCAATAAGCTGGTGATATTGAGTTGTATTATGTTGTATAAAAATGAATGAAGGGACACTTCTCATTTTGTTTGTACAAGCTCTAAATTTAAAACACAATTTCACTGTTGATTTTTTGACATACTCTGAGTTAAATTACGCTCATTTGTTTGGTAGGTGTTTTTTTTTAGAAATATGACTGACACGTTTCTCCTGAAGTCAGAATGTTTGGTTCCACACAGATGTGGACAAAGATATCCTCCGTCCATCCATCATCTATCCCACTTATTCCCAACGGGGGGGGGGGGGGGGGGGGGGGGTGGAGCCTATCCCAGCTGACCTTGGACCAGAGGTATAGTACACCTAGACAGGTCACCAGTCCATCACAGGGACACACACAGACAAACAACCACATGCATTCACTCCTAGGGGCATTTTAAAGTTTTCACTTAACCTAACATGCATGTTTTTGGAAAGTGGGAGGAAGCTAAATTCCCCAGAAAGAACCCACACAGACACTGGGAGGAGATGCAACTGCACCAAAGTCCACACAGAGGGAGCCCAGTCCCCCGGGGATTTGAATCTTGCTGTGAGCCAGTGGTGCTGACCACCAAACGAATCATCAGTAAAATTGTGGGCCCAGACAAAGCCTGCAATGTATTCTTTGACTTAGCCATAACATTTTCTGTGGAAAAAAAAAGACGAGACATATTGTAAAATAATCACGTCATAATGTTTTGCCTAATTTTGAGGCAAATCAACACAATTATGAAAAGCCAAAACACTAACAGCACATGGAGTAAAAAGCTTAATTAAGTGAGCAAAACAATTTGGATCAAATAATTAACTGACTTCCAAATTTGAGATAGGAGAGAGAGTGAAAGGGGTTTTTGTCTTTATTAGGACAAACCTGTTTATTCAAATAATATCTCATCAATGTTTATGGAGTCCTTTAAGGATTCCTTTCTACATCCTTTAAAACACATTAAAAATCTAAAGAAAGCCTTCGGTAATATGTTTGTTTTATCTAAGCTTGATTAAGCGAGTGCGATTCAGCAAAGGCAGCAGTGGCTGTTAAGATTTGTGGTTTTATTTGAAACTTCAATTTTACTCGGTCACATTACCTCTCCGCTGCAACCCCGCGGCAACGTAGCTCTTATTCAGTCCCATAATTAAATATGTGGCTTAAAACTCAAATGCTCAATTTTTCCTCCAATTGAATTCTCAATTCCTCGCAGATATGCTCACAACTGCCATAGTCACATGAAGGGGTGTTGTCTGGAGATGGAGGGAGAAAGTAGGTGGACATTGGGGTTAAAAAGGAGGACAGACCAAGAGGAGGAGATATTTAGAGAGGAGCACACAGCAAAGTCAGACAGAGAATTAGATCCCAGTGAGGCTGCAAAGATGTATATTTCCGTGCCAGGACAACATTTGGCCAACAGTCTTCTTCTGGGTGTAGTCCAAGCACTTAGATGGTTGACACACACTGGCATCTGTCTGTTTGTGCGTTGTGTCAGTGCGCTGTGTGACTGCGAGTGTGTGCTTGAGCATGTGGTCACTGGAGTTTAGAGATTATAGTGAGAGGTGAGGCCAAACTGACAACAGCTGCTGACATACAAACCACATGACATTGATTTATTTTTGATTCCAGCCTAATACCCTTTCCTAACCCCTTAACGCTCAGACACACTCTGTACACACACACACACACACACACACAAACACAGTTCTAAGTCAGTATGATTGATATAAAAGCTGTCATTCTCTCTCCCAGGCTGTCTGGCTTTTCTTATCTCCATGGCGACAAAGTGACAGGGCTCCATCTATCCCAAACACTCTGACACACTCACATGCATGTGCGCACACACACATACACTCTCTCACACACATGAATATGCATATAAATATGCATATTATGCATAGACATGCATGCCTAGATTTAAGGCCTACATACAGAAAAGTAACACTTGCTGATTCATTTTTTGTTCTTGGTACAGTCATTAAATACCTCCATTCATTCATGTCTGGCATGATCACTTCTTTGAAGATGTTTCACATGGATCCTTTAATTGTCATTTTAAATCTAACACACATACACATGGTAATCAAAGGGTTCTGATGTTGAAGTCCTCATTTCTCACACTCAATGTCTAGCATTCCAAGTCCAGATCAAAAAAAATGTCTACAGTTGGGGGGGGGGCTTAATAGAATTTTTCAGCAGGTTGACAACAACATCCCGGTTTCACAAATTTAAGTCTCATCAAAATGGAGGATGCCTATTGCTGAATGTTCACTTCGCAAGCTTTTTTTTAGTTTGGGAACTTTACTCAACAGGTTCATCAGCTGTTGGTTAAGGCAGAGGAGCAGCAATAGATAAATAAATAAAATGAGACTCAGATGGAGAGAGAGTGGAAGTCACATGGCGAGAGCCGTGGACATTGTGGGTTGTTATTGCCCTCTACTGGATATGGATGACACCTGCAGGGTTTCACAGGCACTAACTTTTCCGCTTCAACTTTTCAGACACACACGTACGCACACATACCACTATCTCTCACTCTCTTAGTACGTTTTTCATTGTGTAGAAACCTTCAATGTATTGATCGTACCCAGTTGTAACTTAAATAATGCTATTTTTCTGCCTCTAACTACACTGTCAATGAAAGAAAACTTCCAAAAAGGCCAAAAGAGAGCACACAATGGCAATGATGGGTCTCTCATTCCATGCAACGAGATAGTACGCTTGGTTATCAGCATCAGCACACAATTTCAGAGTTTTCTGAGCCAAAGCAAATATCAATAGCTTTAAGGGCAAAGTCCATATAAAACCCTTGCTTAACACAAGGGAGTAATACAGCCGGCTATTTTTTTAATGATTTTTCTCTGTGGTATCCCAGCGCTGAATAATTCAATATGAAATTCTAAAAGCTTTGTTGTGAGCGTTTCAGTCATTGCAAAACCCTCAAGTAAGAAAATGAAAATATATAAATAGATAAAAAATGTGCTGCGCTAAACATTTTCAGCTCAATCTATTTTACAGTCAAGTAAATAATCTTTCTAGTTTCCTTTCTTTTTTCGAGAGCTTGTGTCTTCATGCTCAGGCTGATTTAGTGCTGGAGAAGTCCCTGTCCTTTCGGACCATTTAGAAGAAGTATTGCATACTTCTGGGCCCTCCCTTGGTAGAGCCCTTGGAATACACTGAGACAGAGATGAATAAACACTGAAGGAAAACCATCCTTCATTGAGGCTCACACAAGCTAAGTCAACAATTTCGAAACTGGCACAAACCCTCAGGAGTCACTAACACGCACAGCGAGACCAACATCTTCTTTCAGCCAAGCTCTGTTGATGTCAGCCGGGCAGAAGATTAAAGCACACCCCATGTTCAAACTATTGGCAAATCCATCACTTAGATCTTCTGCGAAGAGCGAGGACTTTGTGTCCTGTATGATAAGGCTGCTTAGTCTGACACAAAGTCTTTAATTACTTCAACTGCTTTTCCTTTGGGGTCGAGAGTAAATGTGGATAATGGTCACTTACAAGATCTGAGGAGGGGAGGCGTGGAAGAGAATGAATGGAGAATATTGTGAATGATGCCCACTGTGTTTTCTGCCTATATCAGATTCCTCGTCAGCCGTCCGGCCCTCCGTTTCCTCCCCCCTTCCTGTCTCAGTTAACAGAATAGTGCTCGATTTGACCACCAGCGGCAACAAAAGAAAACAACTTCAAGAGCGTAAATTAGATATACCGTAGAGGCTCCCGACTGTGTGTGTGTGTGTGACAGAGGTCTGCAGGCCCCTGCAGCCAGAGTGAATAATTAACAGGGCCAATGAGTGAAGTAGGGTACCAGGCAGGGTGTTTTGTTACTCCAGCCTCAATCCACACAAGCAAACAGCATTAGATAACCCTGTCTATCCACCTGAGTTGTGTGCATGTGTGTGTATGTGAACCTATTTAAGTTAATTCTACCATCTGATACCTACAAATGCCTCTTGCTGCTTGGAAACAATTCCCGACAGAAAGCCTATACAGGCCCTATCAAACTGCTGAACCTGCTGTTATCAACATCCATCTCATTGTGTCTCTAAAAGAAAAAAACATCAAAAAACATACACTTTTTTTTTTTTTACTATTGTAATTATGTTCAATAATTAGAAACAAGTATTGTTATATCATTAGTATGCAAGGGTATCTTCAAAACCATCAAAAATGTCCCACTGGAAAAAAGCAAAAAGTAAATCAACTAGAATGTGTTTGCTTACCATTTAACTATCTAAGGTATAGATGCACACTTTCTGGATTTTCAAATCTCTTTCACCTGCCCAACATAGGTTTTTCTAACTGGTATTTCTAAAGTTTTACAGTTGCTAAAATGTTGGCACGTACAAAAGCAACGCATATGAAAAAAGTTTCAATCACCTGTGCAAACAAAATATGCGTTTTATTCAGCATTAGCATTTTGTTTACATTGTATTTACAACATGGACACACAGGAGAAAAAAAGTGAGGACTTGGTATAATTTCCAAAATGAGTCAAATAAATCTACACAAAGCGAAACAGGATGAAGATTAGGGAGACTGCAACATAGACGTGAAAACATAGGAATAAGCAAGTGCACCGATGACAGTTTTTGAGTCGATGACGTAGGAAAAGACGAGAGTCAAATCAAGACTGCAAAATATGTACAGAAAACATTAGAGAGACAACATTGGACGGCTTTTACTTAAGTGTGACGTAATGTTAATACTGAAAAACAATGAGAAGATATTTCATCACATTTATTTTTACGCTTCAGACCCTGTTCATAGCTTTGGTAGCACCCTCCAATCAATAACCACGCCCAACAGCTGACGCTGCTTTTGCTGATAAGGACGTCAAGTAAAGTATAACAGTCTCTTTTTCAGCAAGGCTTGGTTGTGCTGCACAAATGTAATTGTAGCTCACAGAGAAAGAAAGATAATGAGATTTTTTTTTCAATTAAGAAGGATTTGTGAACATGCCTGCAGGATGTTAATCTCTCAGCCCATCACTGGTTAAGAGTGTCTACATCACTGTGTTGTCCTGTGAGTGAAGCTATGATTAGCAGCTAAACAATAACTTTGCCAAGGTCCGTAAAATAGTAGAAATCATGTGTTGCAACATATTGATGGAAAGCATTAAAAAAAATGAGTGGCGGAGTGGTCAAACAAATCATCCAATTGGAGGTGTCGCTTTCATGACATTACTATGTCCAAAAGCACCTGCCTTTCAAAAACTATCTGCAGGGTACTCAGTCTCCACAAACTATGAAGACCATCTAACTTTATCTTACTAAATTCTAATTAACAGTAAAATGGTCCATTGGTATTCTCTTCTATCATTAAAACTAATCAAAACCTGTATTTAATATGAACAGACGTGGCAGCTGAACAGTGGACTTAAAATAACTTTAAAATAAGGAGAACAAAAAATACACAACTGGGGGCAACTCCTTCCAACTTAAAAAAAACAAACAAATTGTTATGTTTTCGAGACATAATTTCAGACAGCTATTGAGTAATTCTGACACAGATGTTTAAGGGCTATAGCATTTCTCGTTTTTTCTCTTCACCCATACGCATGGTTGGACTAAAAAACAACAACAACAAGCACACAGACACCTGTAGCCAAGCAAACTGCAAACACATTTGTTGCATAATAAAAGACCACATAGAGAACGTGAATCTTTCTAATTTAGCGTCAATTACAAGAGGTCTGAAGGTTTCTACATGGACCTACACGGCAGAGTCGAAGCGGGTTACAGAGGTGAAGCACCGAGTGGGCATAATTTACTACCTGAAGGGCATCATTTGAATCTAGCATTTGCAACATGTATTAGAACTAATACAGTACATTACAAAACAGTTGAATCAAAGACGAACGATGCACATGATGCTGCAGGGAAAATGGCAATCAAGAGATGGATCTCTTCTACTGTGATAAATAGCCGAGGGATGTGCAAAACTGAGACATGGGACAACAGTCATAAATAAGAAAATTGTCATGACTTGTTCCGGATCACCTGGCTTTAGGGCCGGAGCACGCTGTCCATCTGGCTGGGCTATTGCCTATCCATAGCATCCTCACTGGTTAACATTACGCCATATTCTTTTATCAATATGATCAGCCTTGCGGACAATCCTGCCAAACATTGTTGATTCTTTTCCAAACCGAAAGGGGCTAATGGAGACCACAAATCGCAAGATGGTGGCCCTGAGTGAAAACGCTGAGCTCTTCCTGAACACCTGTCATAGACCTGGAGCATGCTAACAATGTCTGCGGCAGCCATTCACTGTTTGTTTTGTGTCACTAACATGAAGAACAGAGTTGGGCATATGTGAGCAAAGAGTAGGGAGTGTGCGTCAACAAACCACCCGTCAAACCACCGACATATGAAATAAATTAAGAACGAGACGAGGTTAAAAGGTCCATCATTCAATTCAATTTGTACAGTAATAAATAGACTTGTCTTCTATTTACAGTTCATTTCGTGGAGTTTTGCGGTTAAAAACATTGAATTTCTAAATATTTGCAAAGCTATTTGTTTTCTTGTGTTGTTCCCGAGAAGGAGAGGCTGGTGCTCACGATTCCCTCTCTCCGTCATCCGTCCATTGGTCAGGAAGACAGGAAGACAACAGAGAACGCTAACGACAGAAGATGCTCCGACGTGTCTTTCCTGTTTCATCCTCCAAGACTTCCCAGTGTCATGCGGTATTGCTGTAACTGCCTTTGTTAAAGAGTTTTCTTTTACTGTTAAATTTGCCTCATTGCACACAAACATTCACCAACACACATACACACACAGATTTGGAGCACCTGATGCTTTACTTTTGTCCCCACGCGATGCCTTTTTGACTTTCTGCTTCAGCTCTGAGTAGCAGTTGCCTCACGACGCAGACCTAAGAGCGGCTTTTTTCTCACAAGCTTTCCTGACAACCATCACAATCAAACCTAGAGCCGAGTCCTTTGGGCAACTTCTTCCTCACACCTGTGGGCCATTTCAAGGGGTTTAATTCATCTTCTTCTCGGTTTTCAAGGAGCCGTTGCGTTTGTGCTTCCCGTTGGGAATGCTTTCGCTATGGCAGTGTCCGTTGGTCAGGCTGCCGTCATCCCTGGGGGCGCTTCCTCTCCCGCGCTGGCCAGCCTCCCCCCTCAGCAGCCGCACTGCCTTACGCACGGCAAAGCCCGCGAGGGCCAAGGCGGCCGCTACGGCGGCGACCACATCCACCAGGAAGTACTGGTAGGGGGAGACCTCGTACACCGCCGAGCGCAAGTGGTCGGCGCCGTTATGACGGAGGATGTAGCTGATCCAGTAAACGGCCCTCGTCACGGGGTGACCCGGCTGATCTTTGTGAATGTTGGAGAGAAGCTGCGCCTGGCGGCGATACCTTTGCACAAAGAGAGGAGCGGGATGAGGGCAAAAGGTTTGAGTGCAGTCAAAGCACAGGTGTAGAATAGGACAACATAAAGGGGAGAGATAAAGGAGAGAGGACATTTTTTAAGTCAAGCCACAGATGACTGACCCTTAGACGCAAAGCATTTGTGTGGGTATAAGAGCAGAGGACTCAAATCTAACCTGGTGTCTTTGATGACGCTGGTCAGTGCAACGAAGAGATCTTCTTCTGTCATATACTTCCAGTGGAGCATAATACCCATACCTTTGGCTGCCACACGAGTCATAGTATCATAGTGGTCTCCAAAGAGGGGCACCCCCACCACTGGCACGCCGTGATACATGGCCTCGTAGATGCTATTCAGTCCCCCGTGACTCAGGAAGGCCTTTGTGTTGGCGTGGCCTGGATGACACAAGAGGAAGTGCTTTGTTCACGGCTCGTTTTTGACTGCGTTTGGCAGCTATTTCCTTCATGAGAGATCCAACAAAATGCTCTGAACAAAGCTCAGTGCCACTCCATACGTAACAAGAGGGTTGACACAATTTCTACAGGAAAATTATCATAACAATATATTAACGCGACCCGAAACTGACGAAAATCAAAACATTTTAAAGATGTATCTGCTTTGAAAACTGAAAGAATGCAAACCCAGGCGCAGTTTTTAAAAAAAAGAGTTGTCCTTTTACACAATTTTGTAAAAACAACTCTTACCGATGATAAAAGATATGCCATGGAACACAGGTTCTGTGATGTTACTCAGATGTACTCACCCAATAAGTCATTCTGGGGCATCCAGTCGACAAGCTTGGTGTTGTTGCCAAGATTACTGGGTGGAACACCAGAAAATCTAACAAAAAAAAGAAGAGAATGAATAAGACTAACAATGCCGATACAAATATATATAGAAATTTTACTCTTGAGGAATGGGCAAATACAAATTAGATTTTATTAGGGTTTTTTTTACAATATTAATTAAAGCTGCAACAACAAAAGGGGAAGATTGAAGATTAACTAATTTACTTAATTTGAATTCACTGTGCAGGACTGAGTGACTGTTATACTCAGTCCCATACATGGGAAAATTACAGCCCGAGGCCGAGATAATTTCATAAATGATAGGCAATGGGTAAAAATAAAATATTTAGTGCAATATTACCTTGCTCATTACCTTTAGCTGTATGTGTCTATTTATTACTTAGAAGATTAAAATAGACAAGCATTTAGCCTCAACTGTTGTCTCTGGGCAGTATCAGATATGCATCTATAGAGTAAAACTGTGTATTCAACATCAGAATCATTGGAAAAAGACAAAAACACTTCCAGCAAAGCTCCCAGTGGATTATTTGAATGGAAACGTTAGAAAAAAATTTCGGTAAGACACCACAGCTCACAGCTTAGCTCTCAGTTGGAAAGCAAAAGCTCACAAAATTCATATATCTTCACATTTTCTATAAACACTTGATCTTTGTACAAAAGAATAAACTGTCCATCACTGTCTCCTTCTTCCCAAAACTCAAGCCCCTTTCCGCGAGTCAACAAAGCATGAGTTCATTGTCCTGCCAATCAAAGCCTGCATTCAGGAAGGCACCTGTCGATGACACAACTCATTTGGCTCATCAGTCCTTTTCCTCTTCCATCTCCCAAGTTAGGAAGAGAAAGAGAGAGCAAGGTTAAAATACTCAGTCATAGGCATTAAAAGGGAACCACGCTTTCAGCTTCCAGGCTTCGATCATTGTCTCGATTCACCTGTATGAATGCCACTGACACTGACAACGTGCACACCAATGTTTGTTTTTAAACTGTTCCCCAGCATGTCAAAAGGCTATGGAGGTAACAACACATACATCTTTGGTCCCCTTTACACCGGCATCTAATGAGCAAAAACAATGGGATGTCACAAACTACCATTACTGAATGTTGACGATAGCAGAGATGGTCAATATGTTGACATGAGGCCCACTGGACAGACAGTCCGACCACAGCTCTACGTGCCAAAAAATACACCATTTTCCCCCTTGAGCTTTCATATTCCCTTCCGAGCTCCACATAAATCTGTGTTATCGATGTCATCCAGTTATGTATAACTTCCTCTACGATATGAATCATCTCTCAGCTTCTCTGTCAAATGGGTTTTCAATGGAAGTCAGCTTAAGGCATGTTCTTGTAAAAGTGAGACCGATCTGCTATTTACTTTTTGAGTATTAAAAATGGAAAACCTTATTTGTGTATCTATCAACTAAATAGGTTAAGTGAGAGAAGACGAAGACGTGATGCAACATGTCTCTGACTCATTTGCTTGAAATGTGTCACTGCCACTGTTTTTAGAATATGAGCGAATTTGTGACTATCAACGACTGATATCGAGTTTGTGAACTTAACAAAACCCAAACAATTTGTGTGTATCTACATATATATATATATATAAATAAACTACTATAGCAAAAAAAATCCAGATTGACGTCTACATAAAACGGTATACCTGAAGCACACACATCCATAATTAAAAGTCAGCTGACCATTTTTATTGATTATGACATCACTGTAAAGCGTGTATTGCTTTATGTTTGCGTGTATAAACACTTAGATACCAAACACGCCCACATTATACGCCAGCAGACTTTAGCTGTGGAAATAAAAAATACAACACATGCTCAAGTCGGAGTTTTGCTCCAACTGAATATATAATGAGACAAAGTGACCGACACTATTGGAACATCTTTGTTTGTTTTTGTTTAAAAAGGATCAGTCAAACAGAATGCACTCATAAGCCAGTTCATAGTTTCACAGAGAAATGTGGGTCACAGAAGTAAATGAGTCACAAGCTCTTAAATACGCCGAGATAAGGGTTAAGGATTAACAGGGTGAGAAGTGGAATTTAAAAGCTTGACCATTCTTGTCGCTTTTTTTTTTTCCATTGGCAATGCAGGTAATAATGAGAGCAGGGATTTTGCTAACGAGCGCCTGCTTTTAGAATTGCAAATGTTAAAACATTGACTCATCAGCTTTTCCTATGGCAGGTAACTTGATGTTAGGGAAACTTCGTAGTTCTGAATGATTACAGATTACGCCCTGATGTGGGAGAGGCTGGACTCTGACCGCAACAAAGAGCCTGTCATTGCTCTTATTTCATCACGTTCCCTAGTAGCAAGAAAAGCTGATTATGGGGTCCATGCTCATTTGGAAATAAGTTTAGTACGACACTTTGGCTTTGATTCGGGCCTCTCCCAGTTTATCTTCCTGACATCTGTATGTGGATGTGTGACGTTACCTCCAGATGACACGCTGGGGCAGCCTGGCAAAGGCTCCGGCCAGTTTCTGAGCAATGTCATGGGAAAGGTACTTGACTCCAGCTCCAAAGGACACAATGACAAAGCCATGCTCTGCCGTATCATTCACCCAAGCCTCAAAATCCTGGAGGAAAATAGGAAAAGACCTCAGCATTATTACACACATCACAATCGTTCAGATCATCTAGATCTCAGTTGTTGTTTTTTTGTCGGTTTATTTGCATCATTAACAATAAATACTTGAAATGATGGGACCTTTCACATAAGAATTCAACAGGTTTTAGTAAAGACACACTCTTCCCTGAAAACTTAAGACACAAGTGTTTGTGTTTTCACAGTCACCCTTTGTGATTTGCAGCTTTAGGAATAAATCCTGGATGATTTGCTTTAACTTCAGACACGCAGATCATTAGAAACTTTCAATCATGTCACAAATCTGCATTTTAATGTTGAAATGCACTGACAAGTAAACTTGGGAAATATTTCTGAGTGGTTTTACTGAAACAAATTGCCTATGTTTATTTAATATAAGTGTTTATTGCTTTTTATTGTCAAAATGTTGCTTGAATTTGTATGAAAAGGACTACAGGTAAAGGTTTTGTGTGTGCAGGATTTTAAAAGAATGGGCCGTGCGAATTGATAAATAGAGAAAATGAAAACAGAGTAAGCTAAAGGCTATTTTTCATTAGTAGTTGCTGAATCAGGGCACTGATTAGTCCTAAAAACAGACTTTATCTTGGTCTAAATCCCTGACAAATCCCCAAATAGAAATACTGAAACCACACGGATGCTGATTCACAAATGGGAAACAAATAAAATGATAATAATCACAAGAAAAATGTCACCCTTGTTTTTATTCTCTGTGGTTTGATATATGCAAGGTTATATGCAAGGTATATGTACTATTTTAATTAATAATAGAGGTCAACTTTGCTTTGCTGAGAAAGAATGTGGCGAAACCATGACCTTGTATGTCCCAGTTACCCTGCGTGGTCAATGTTTTAATCCAAACTGCTATCCACTGGATATAATCACCGGGCCTACAGCTTATGCAAGAAGGACAGGACGTCCTGAGAACTCATTAGGTTTAAATTAAATTTGAGGAGAAACTAAGCATCTAGATGTGTCATATTGTCAATATTTCTCTATAACTTTAATTCTGTATTACAACTTGAAAGTTTAAAAGGAAACAGTAACCATCAGATAAGTGCACTCTTCTCTTGTTAAATGCCAAGTAGGAAGTAGCATCTGTCATGAACCCCATGAACCAATTCATTTTTCCCCCATATCACATAATATAAGGAAATTAACTGCCATTTAATTAACTTTTTAGGTGGCTGACAGAGCGTGCCAGTTTACCCCTGACTTGGCTTTTCTGTGATACATGCGGAATAGTTTTTTGGCACTGTCTTCCTGAAATGAATTAGGCTTTCCCATTATATGCTTTTTCCTGTGAGAGCACCCAAAGAAATGTTGAAAATTGTACAATTTTAGAGTTTCATCGACCATCTATCGGAACTTATCTTCACTTTTGACCAACTTGGTTCCTCTCGCATGTCCTTACTAAAAACCCAACCATATTTAGCACCTTTAACAAATTTGATTAAAGGTGAAACAATTGGGTTTGTCCTGATAATATTACACTATTATACATTGAAGAGAGAGGTTAAGGGAAAAAAATAAAATAGAGTAATGGATTATCATAGAATTTCTCAGTTTAACTTTAGGCTGGAATGTGTTCCAAAGCCTATGTGAAGTGCTTTGTGCCATTTGTGGGTGTTGGCATATCAATGAGTGTCCTAACCTGTATGCCTATATACCTGACCTATCAACTGAACATTGACTTTGCATGTCTTAGGAGATAGAGAAATAATTACAATGGGCTTTGTCCAAATTTCTCAGCCGTCCAGTTTCCTATAACTGAGATCATTGACTACATACGCAAACCACTTCTTGAAAAGGGCAGATTTAATCGAAACTTCTGTTTTGTAGAATGGACTTACTTTTCATCTGGATTAGAGGCATCAAAACTAAAATACTCTCACGTTAACTTAAATTACACTGGCTAGCAGATCAACCAGGGAGCAGCCATGCTGAAGTGAGCGGCCAGCGGGACGATTAGAATGAGGCTGGTGGTCCAGCTGCAACAGCTATGATCGGCCCTGGCACAGAGCAGCCTCCCGGTCACACTGGGCTCTGTGTCCCAGCAGCACAGCACTACTGTCCCTACAACGCAGCCTCAGTGACCCTATAAAAGAGTCCCAGTGTCCCCTGCGTTCTGCCCAGAACAATAACCTCGTTCTCCCTCCACTTCCATTATAACTCCTTCCACACAACGCGACACAATGCTCCCTATTGGCCGGACCGGCATTCCTAAAACCCCCAGCAGCAGATACCGACGGCCCAGGCGCTTAGTGTCCAAACGCTTAACTAACCCCCATCGCTACCCGCCTCTGCTCTCCATGACTCCCCTCCCTATCTGTCCCATGCCCATTCAGCCCAAACCCATCCTCATCACCGCCTCGCCTAAAAAGGCTCACATTGTGGTGCGGCGTGATAATAAGATATGCAAGATAAAAAAAACAATGAGAACGAGTAAGAGTACATGAAAAGGTCAGAAAACCGAAACTAAAGGGACAATAAAGTTGGGGGAAACAGTTGAAAGCAACAAGAGGTGTCTAAAACAAGCTATATCATATGTGTGTGTATTGGGAAACAAGCACTTTTCTTTCATTTACATCAGAAAACTTTTAACCTGAATAGAGCACATGCGGATAACATACATGCTGACAAAGGGTGAGCCAAATAAATATTGACCTAAAGAGTTTTGAATGGACGGAAGAATCTGAGAAAAACCTCTTGTGCATACAAAAGAGCTTTTTTTCTCATTTTTTCATTTTTCTAATTCGATGAAAATTGAAAGAGACAATGTTGCTGGCCCTCTAAACTGCCCTTGAGAAATGACATTTGCATAATGGCTTAGTCAAACTCTGTTGCCTTGACTCTAGCATTGTATTACAGTGCTTCTACCACAAATGGCAAATAACTCTTTATTCTGGACATGTGTGGTTGTATCTGTAAGCAAGGAAAGTGGCCAAAGTTGTAAAATTTGAATTCTAGTATGTGCTTTATAAAATCAAAGGGACCTCGGGCATCAGTAAGAAATGCATGAAAATACCATCAAAGAACAAATTTACTAAGATGAATAAATCACATAAAAAAGGAGGAAAAAAAAGCTTTTTGTCTGCCTCATTCTATGCATGCCAGCTCTTTGTTCTGACCTGTGGTAGTGGGCTGGGGGGCTTTGTGAGGATTCCCCCTATGTAGACCACATGTGGCAGGGTGGGTCTGGGAAACTCCAGCGCCATGTCAGTACACAGCATCCACAGCCGGCTCCCCTGCACCAGGTCGGCCATGGCCACTTGAGGCTTTACTCCGTGTTTCTTCATTATCCGGTCATATTTGGGTAACGCAATGTAATGGACTCCGAAGCGTTGCACCAGGTAAACGACGGTGTTCGTGATCCTCTGCGTTAAGGACATTCGATCGGTCAGCAATGAGTTGAACTCCGGCACGTACGATAGTGGAGCCGGGGCTCCAACTTCTGCAGGATACCAGAGGCCTGTGCTGAATACAGCATATTTGACACCCAGGATGTGAGCGATCACAAAACCACACATTTCGTTGGGGTCCACGAGCAGCAGGTCAAATTTGGCTTCTTTCAGGCGGTTCATTACTTCAACGCTGCCTACAACAGCATCACAGTTCTGAGAGTAGTGGTCAAGAATGTCAAACAGTTCCAGGAATGTCAAGCGGCCTGAGAAGATGTTGCTGACTTTGGTCTGGAGGAAATTGTCCGCCGTGCTGCTGTTAAAGATCCCTGGGTAGCGCTGCAAATGGTAGTGAGGAGATTGCGGCACCTCGCGGCCCTCTGAAACTAGAAAATGGGTCTCATGGCCCTCTTGGCGTAGAGCTGTTGCCAGCGTCTTGAAGATGTAGAGGTGTGATTCAAACATGATAGGCGGGACCACAATCACTTTAGCAGCCCTTGTTGCACTGGGACCCCAGGTAAGGAGGCCAAGGAGGAGCAGCAGGGATGATGGTAGTAACATGGCTGAAATAAACAGTGAAAAAGAAAAATAAAGGTGTAATGTTAGCATTTTGTTACATCAAAGTGAAAGTAAAAGACAGACGTCAAAATGTTATTACACATACTTTTCAGTGTCACTCGGCAAGCTCCGAACGCCTTCATTTATGCCTATAAAAATCATTCTAATTATCCAAACTAAGAATGGTTGACATGAGAAATATTTTATTGATTCCAGACTCCCCCAATGAAATTTCTCTTCTCTGGTAATAATGATTAAAGCTATTGATGAGAAAAGGGGAAGTATCTGATTTGTGTATCATAGGACAGTTATTATATGTAATAGATGCGCATACATGTTTAACCCCCTACTTTCCTTTGACGTCTGTCGGTTGCACGCTGTTATACGTCTTCAGTCTGTGCACGACCATCCCTGACATGGAGTGGGTAGCACCAACGTCACTAAACCTCTGGCTGTTCTATCCACACTCACAAACACAAAGAGCCATTATCCTGTCACCAGGGCATTGGCTGTGTCTTGTATGCCTACTCTCATTCGCATTCTCCCTCTCTTGGATTAATGATCGGCACCGAAAACCCGCTAAATAAGGAGACATCAATCATCCATGTTTTTCTAATCTGCAACGGCCAACCTATGCAGTTCTTGGCTGTGTTGTTCCACCTAAGGGAACGTGCTGACATTTTTGGGGGCAAATGCATACATTATACTGTTAGAGTACCAAAGGTCTTGTGACTCTGAACCAGTTGATGGAGGATGTAAGCAAATAAAGACCAACACGGCCATGGCCAGAATCAGAGAGCTTTCTTAAATTCTTATGGAGCAATGATGTAATGTTCCAGTTAATATGTGAACACCTCATAGGGTTTTTCTGTCAGAACATTTTCTGCTACCAGCGGTTCTGCCTGCTTGTAGTGCTGAATCTATTTCTCAGTCTTATATGGAACCAGGAGTCCTACAAGGGGGCATGTAAGTAGTTGCACGCACCTTACATCAGTCCCATAAGATGCTGTCCTCAGAGGATAGATACAATCTCTCGATAGCAAAAGAATTTGGCTTGGATCTATGCATCATTTTGTGAAATTCTCTGCGGGCCATATATGGATAGCATCTAATCAGAGGTCCATAATGCACCAGTCACCTGTTAGTTCACAGTTTGGAGCTCTTTGCTGTAAAAACATATGTGGCCTGTGACAAAACGGACTCAAGGTGGCCACCATTTTGTTTAGCTCGGTCCGGAGTGTATCGTTACAAATACTTTAAAGTCAAGACTGTTAACGGTCACTATAGAAACCAGCCACTGTCTACGGAAGACGCTGATGCGTCATGACTTAGATTACTAATAATGGAGTCTGGTTACCCTTTGCACAGTAACAGCTGTGTGGGAACAGAGACAATTAATGGATAACAAATGACGAAATGGCCTGTAAAAGTGGTATGACAGCAGGGGAACACTTGTTTGATTTATCACTTATCCTAATCACTGATTTTTTTTAAAGCAAGAGGTTTACGAATGAGTAACAACTATAACTTTGTTTTTTCACATCGTTAGTTTAGATTTTATCCATTTGAATCAATTATAAACACAGTCAAATTATTATAAAAACCCTTAAAAATGATCAAATATAAAATGAGGAATCCATTTGCAATACTGCAGTTCCTTCATTCCAACATGTAAATGAACTAAAGCATCATTACTAAGTATTCATGATGTTAACATTCATTTAATTACCCTCAATCTACGATCCAAACTTCATATACTGTAGTACAGGTTTTGAGCTGCATTATTAGGATACTGTTTATCATTCTGACCCGTTTTTTTTACACCGTTAACACCTTATTCCTCTGAGTACTCTTTGTTCCCTATTTCACAGCTGATTAGCAGATGAGAGGCCTCACCAACAAGTCTTTCCGGAGTGTACCACAAACATTTATATCAGCAAATATAGAACTAAGCAGCCTTCGGTGGGAACCTTTGAAAGCGCGTACATACATACAGTCAGACAGAGAGCAGGTACACAGGCTACAGCTGAGACATATTTAAGCGTTTCCTTCAAAGGTGTTGCTGCTAATTATCATCAGTAAAAGTTATGAGTATGAAAGTTTGGACCCTGGCATGATATATCTATCTAATTCGATTCCTCTGAACAGCAGATCAGCTGTCCATCTGTGTGACTGCTTTTGCTCAAAATGCCACATCCATTACAAGGTCCAAACTTCGGAGATTGCATTTGGAAAAAAAAAAAAAAGCAGGCACCAGGCGGGTAACTCACACATGACACCCATTTATTTCCAAGTTCTTGGAGAGTTGCGCAAGTCTGAATGTCTAAAGGGAAGAGAATCACGTAATTGGTTGTTTTGGTGTGGCCAACCACTACCATGGCTTCAAAACAGACAATCTTGAGACTAGACTCAGGGAGTGCATCCTACACCTAAAGCCAAGAAAAGCCTACGCTGATCATTTAAAGAAAAGGATTAACCAAAAACTACATTTACATTTTTTTCCCCTTGGCTATCACTCAGTTATGACCTGTGATGAATGCATTTCTATAATGATATACAAAGACTCATCATTAGTTTTATTATAACGTCAACAAAACCCTCTTAATGGTACACTTTTCTTCTTCCTTGATTCGGCAAGGGAGAATTATCAGCTTTGCTGCTTCCACTTTGGAGGTTGATTACTTTAGTGCACTACGCTTAATAGTGAGATGTAGCATCTAATACATCATATTAAGCAAGCACAAGTGGACTCAAGATGTTCAATTCGTCTCATGTCTTTCAAGTAAGGCAAGGAATCCAACTGTGGTCCTTGAAGGGTAAGTCTGCTTGAGGTAGGTTGTTACCCTTGAATTTTAAATGATGAAAGTAAAACATTGCCCCCAGATGAAACGAGTTGAGATACACTGATCATGTTAGCTTTGAAGTCATACCGTACATCCCAGTGGTGATGTCAGATAGAAGGCAGATTTGTAAGCTGCCAAAAGCTGTAAAGTGGGATGACAAAGGTCAGTGTAGCAATCACTATTTTTTTTCCTTTTCTAATCATATCTCAAGTTAAACATGATAATAAAAATCTTACATACCAGAACATGGTGACATGCATATCAACGCTGGCAACAAAAACACGCCAGTAATACGCAGGGCAGCCAATCTATCAAAGTTTAAGGACATCTTTGTGGCCAGAAACTAATCATTTCCACTCCGAGATTAGGGACTGGAGCAGTTAAGGTCCTCAACCTTTACAAACTTGAATTTCATTTATTTTATTTGTTGTTTTTTTAAACTAAATGAAAGGGCAGAGAGAAAAAACTAACACATGACTTTCCCGTGATGGAGCGCAAAGGAAACTGTTTATAATGGCAACATGGCCTCTTTGCTCACCTTTTATCTCAGGCAGCATTTAACTGAAAGATTACAGAGGGCATAGACAGGCCTTCTAAAATATGATCCCCAAAAATACTGGCGGATTGCTTGGCACAGGCAAAGTGAAAATCTATGCAAAAGCCTTAGGAATACATTTACATTTTACGTTATTCTGTAGGCCAGATTGAAAATAACTTTTATAGGCTCGTTCTTCTCACCATAAGGCATTCTTTTCATATTGTTTTACTACGGCCTTCCTTTTCCTCAAACAGATTGTAATAACAAACGTGAAAAAATCAGGTCAAACAGGCTCCGTCTTTGCATGTTTAGAGTCGTTACACCACATAAACATATAAAGGAGACCAAGTTGCGGGAGTTTTTTCTTACTTGATTGTGTATTCCTTTCACATAGGCCGGTCAGAAACTGAGAGGGGATAAAAAGGCAGGGGAAAATCCTGATGTGCTTTAGATACTGCAATACAGCTAAGGCACATGATGAAGACACCTCCGATTAGTTTTGTTATGGAAATAAGATTTGAGGAGGGCACAGCTCCTTCATCATAGCAGGGATCTCCGTGGACGGGGCTTTATCCTCCAAACACTTTGAATAAGTGTTGGCTTTGGGTAAAGGCACACCTCATGACACATGCAGCCTTGAGTATTAAAGTCAACACCACAAAAATGTCTGAGGGATAAAGTAATCTCAACCGTGCTTCACATAGGATTGATGATTGTATGTTCGACAATGACATGTTAAAGATATGTCTTAAATAAGCTTCCTCTCCCCCGCTAACATCAGGTGATCGCTTAGGATGGTAGAACGTGACTGAATCAGCAGGTGCGCACCTGTTGTTATAGATATGACAATCATTTGCCTTTACGACAGGGTAGGACAATCAATCACTCATGTGTATTTTGCAGTAGTGTTACCTCTGAGCATCTGCAGAAGACCCAGAGAAGACTAAAAGCCTATAGCGTTACCATTAACTAAATACATACACTTGTATTATAAAGAGGAAACAGAATCTTTGACACATTTGAGTTTAAATTTAGTATAAATCTAATTATCTGATCTTATTATTTAACATCTCATTAAGAAACGTGTGCACTATACGTATCTATTTATAATAGTTCAATCCCCCGCCGAACATGTTCACAAATACATCATTACTATTGACTGATGGGGGTAGGGGTGTTTTGCAACGTACTTGAACGCAACACGACACCTGTATTCCAGGGCGGTTTCGACCGTCTAATTGCAACCCTTTGGTAAACCCGGAGGGGAAATTTCCCGTCCTACACATTTACGATAATACACAATTCTGTTAAAGTGCGCAGGTAAAGAGAAAGACTGAAGGTGGGAGGTGGAAGGGGGAGGGGGGGGGACGCTACACCTGTCGGAGAAACGCAGCCTGTTGAATGCTCTTACCTTTAGACGCGCAGGTGAGTAAAAGAGGGAGGCGAAACCGTCACAAATCCTGACTTCCCTGAAAAGAATTAATAGTGTTAACAAAAAAAAAAGTTTTAATTTTTTACTGGCTTCGGGGACAAAAAAAAATGGGGACTGTTAAGTTAAAATGAATCCCCGGGAACTGAATACGGTGGAAGGCGCATGAAACTCCCCGTCCCTTTACGGGGGTGGTGACAGGCGGGGCCAGACGTGTTGCAATATGGAAAGAAAGGGAGTGGCAGGGGGAGAAAAAAAAAAAGTGGTTGGATGACTAAGGCACAATAAGGAAAGGGAGTGCTTTTAACAGCCCATACAGGTACTTTGCGGATGGCTTCATGACGGCTGAAACAGTCAGTTTTAAGATGAGAGTTGAGGTCATCCCAGCACAATATGCCGTTAAAGGCTCTGAGCCTACTTCTTCAACACGCTGGCACAAATATAATTGCTGAATTTGAGAAAAAAAAACTGCCTTTGCCCTAGTCTAACAAACCTGTAAGTAAATATTTGGCGTGAAGGATTCTCTATTCTTCCACACAGGCTGCACCCTTTCACACAACCTCTCCTACCATTTCAATATAGACTCTTTAGGAATTGTTCTTCCCCTTTTTTTAAGACGTTCCAAAACTATTTTGATAAAGTATTTGGTTCTGCTTTAAATCAACATGACCCCACACCGCCTCAGTAATGTTAGGTGTTATTACCCTATGGCTAATAACTAGATAGGGCCTTGTATTTTTAGAGGTTCTAAAGGGTATTTGAATGTTCCCATGTAGTAAACAGGGAAATTACAAGGGGGTACTAAAGCAGGATCTTCCCCAGTGTCCAGTCTTGCACCCCTGAAGGTACAATTAGGGGCTCCTGAGTGATGAACACCCTTAAGAGCCAGTTAGATGTTCTAATGTTCAGATATACATTTTTTTCCTTAACTTTTTACTATCTCTGTAGATCATATTTCAGATTTTATTAACCTTTGGTGGATAGTTAGGCTTGCCAGTTTTTTAGGACACACCATAATGATATGCACCAAATATATACGTGTTACCTATGGGATATTGGTGTCATTGGAATCATTATCATTATTCTTGCTATTTTTGTTGTTTATACAGTGTATTTATTGTGTTGTTGCATCAAAGAAATTTCTAATTGTGGGATTAATAAAGCGTTTTGAGCTGAATTTGATTTAATTGAAGGAAAGTACAGTTGTGAACACTATCACATTATTATATGATGATCGACCGTTATATTGTACAAACGTGACCATTTCTTAGCTGGTGGTAGTAGCCTAAGCTTTTGGGCTGCATGCAAACATACAGACGAAGGCTAGTAGCTACAATGACTAATTTCAGTGAGTTTTATCGTTGTTGATTGTTGTTTATGCATTTAGCAGACCCTTTTATCCAATGCGTCTTACAAAGTAGAAATATATATGGCATATCTCCCGGTTGGAGAATCGAACCCCAGTCTCCCAGTTTTACTTCGTCCTCGGTCTACGACATGGAGAGATACTGTGGATAAAAGCATTATATCTAAATAAATGAACCATGAAGATCTACTTCTTACTCTTATCAAATGAAAGGCGTTAACAACGCAGGCGACAAGCATTTGGATTAAGTTATCCTGGTTGTACAATACATTATCATGTTTGTACAAAATATTATCATGTTATGATGTGATAGTGTAAAAGAAAATGATCTTTTTTCATTCCATGACATCTGCACTTTTGCACAACACTATAATGCTGGTATCAAATTAGTTTCATAACATAAATTGCATTGCAATAAGTTTATTTTACAGGCGTTTAACTCAGTAATGCCCTCTGCAATGGTACTGAACAGAAAATATTGATTAAGAAAACATATTAGCACAAATATGAAAAACTAACTTGGCATTTCAGGGAGTAGGCAATGACCTATATAGACCAGAGAACTACAACATTCAAACAACTAATAGAGTTCAGGGAGTAGCTGGCTAATCTTGTTGAAGTTTCGTCTTCTTTTAGGAAAAAGATCCTCCTGGTCTTCATGCTGCTTTGAAGCTTGCCACTTTCCTTCCTTTGGCCTCACGTGACAGTATCTATTGAAACATCCTGGTGCCAGGCTCTATTCAGGAGGTCATAGGTCATGAATGACCTGTATTTACATTAAAGGGCTCGACTGACAATAGCCCAGTCATGCGTCAAGTCGTTGTTACTACTTTTCTTAACAGATTAAATAAAGACAATGATAGTTGCATCTGACATTCAAAGACTAGGTATACATAAAAAGAAACTACAAAAAATAACTTAGTTGGAGTACAAAGTACTTCAGTTTGGTACCCAAGTGCAGTACTGAGTAGTACCTTTTAAACTTATTTCTTTGCGTGTTAGTTAACAGAATGTCAGGAAGTTATTCACTGATACCACTTAAAATGTTTAACAATGCTTTGAGTTTCCATTACAAAGAGTTTATCTTTCAGTTCACCTTTTATGTATGCTTTTGTGCCAGTTAATGACTGATGGCTGGAGGTTGAAAGTCCTGGATGACCACAATGTACTACTTAAAACCTTTTGCTGCTGAATGAGCACTGCTATGTACCTTTTGTCATATTTTTTACTTATTGTACAAAGATAAATATTGCGTGATCACACCATCTGCACCAGCTCTTTGTTTTTGAATGTCTTTTCTATCAAAACATTTAGTGCAAAGTGAATAATCGTGTAATAAACTGCTGTTTTAGTCATAGAATTGGCCAGACTCAGGAATACACCACACACATATTGTACTCTGTGAGGCAGAAATGGCTGATGTGATGGTACACTTGGGGAGAAACGCCACAGGGTTATTTTACCACCAACAAAAAGTCAACAGAAGGACAGATGCTTCGGATGCAGATTGAGGGAGAAGATGAAGAATTTAAGGACTGGGTTCCCTGTTATCCTGCTGACGCTGCTGTTTAACTGTTCTACAAAGAGGACTTTCTGTTTACATGGCAAACACATATACCCAAGGGCACTAAAAGCAATGGGGCAAATGCTAATTTGGGGATTTGAGATGGGGGGGGGTTGTGAGACCACGACCGTGTTGTGCGTAGTCCAAGACAAATGGCTGTTTCTTCTCTAACAGTAATCCATTTGTGATCTGTCCTCCACGCACATATACAGACACAAGCTAATCTCTTTCGATACATTCACTCCCCTTTCCATCCCATTTCCTCAGCTATGCCCTGAGTCATCACAATGTGCAGTTCAGCCAGTGGCCTCTTAGCCCAAGCATCCACTGAGCCGTCCAAGTCAGAAAGGGCCTACACGTGAACCCGGAGCTTCTCTGAGTCCTTAAACTGGCTCAGACCTTCACCGCTCGGCCACCAGGCCTCTCTGTGTTCCATTTTCCCTTTTCTTTCTGTTCTCCCCATTTCACCCCCCCCTCTATTCTTCTGATGATATTGTCTTTCTGCCTGTACCTTCCTCCCTCCACCATTCCCTTTCCCCGCAGATATCAGGTGTGTCACTTGAGCCCCGTATCAATAGTTTATCACCCTGGGACATCCAATCTACAGAGTGTGGCAAAACTCTCCCGTGGAGATCTGCCGTCATTAGTGTGTCTGTGTCACTTCAGAGTGGGAAAAGATCATGTTAAAAATTGGTGATATAGAGGCTCAGAAAACAGCCTTAGATGAGGGAGCCTGGAATAAAGGTGATAGTTGAGGTCTGGGTTGCAAAAAACAATTAGCATCCGCATTTTTAAAATAAACCAAAAAACTGCACAAGAGACATTTTACTGGAGTACACAAGTTTATTTTAAATATCTACTGGAGAAACTGTAAATACTCACTTCTTTTAGGTGAAACCAAGGCGCTTCATTTTTACACACTGACATCTAGAGGACAAATAATAGTATTACAATAGAGTGATTACCCTTGTTAAAATCTGCTGAGAATAGAAAAACAGACACATTTTCACCATCCATCCATCCAACAATCGTGATGGCTTATACCCTCATGGGGTCAAGTTTTAACCTCCAGACATTGTTTTCCTTTTTTCAAAGTTATTTGTTTAATAGCCAGTCTAGTGATTTTAACCTGACTATGAAAGTTAATATTTGGGACAGCCTTTTTCTCCATACTTATCTGTAATGATATCAACATTTAGCGACACATTTTGGTGTTAATGCATGTATTTTTGGGACAAAAAATGTATAAGTTGATGTAATGGCGAGGTGTGTGTTTAACATTGAATAGCTGTTATGGTGACAGCAAGAAACTCTGACTTATTCAGAAAAAAAATGGTAAAACATACAAATAGTCCACTAACTCAGATGAGACAGACAAATATGTTTCTTTGTTATTTTGCCAGGACTATTTTTTTTGTTTTGTTCAATCTATCATAAACGTACCTTCAAGATTCTTTGGAAAGTTGAAATTCTCATGGCTCAGATAAAGTGTTTAAGTATCACGTATGATAAGGCCCTTAAAGCAGTAAAGTACAGTAATTTCTCCTTTGCGCAACTTGTTTAAGGTTGTGTGTTGTGTTTTGTGAAAATCGTCTGCCTATGCATGTACACTCATGTCATGCAGCAAAGAGTGAGGGAACATACTGGTTTCAGCTGAAGAGCTTTAAGAATAAGATGGCACCAGATTTTTACTCTGAAGCAGAACACTCTTAGGTTTACAAGTATTTTTTTTAATAATACTACTTTAGTTAAACGGTAGTGGATTTTATTAACTTTTTATGCAAAATCTTACTTGTTCAGAAGGGAATATCATATAGATTCTCAACGTTTTGCCTTCTGCTTAGCTGGTTAAAAGTGATGTAAGCAAAAAATAAAGTTAGATTTGACTAAATTGTAGGAAGTGTCAGGTCAGTAACGTATGGTAGAGATAAATGAGTGATTTTAAGCCATATACTCAACCAACTTTAAGCTCATAAATACCAAGAGAAACTAAGCCCAGGTGGAGGAGTACAGAGTGGGAAAGAAAGCATTGTATGTCACTCCCAGACTCCCAGACTCCTAGGTGCTCCAAATATGTATGGAGGGTGCAATTAACAAATGAGCCACCCTTCAATGGAGACCATTTCCAATTAGGCTTCAGGGAAAAATGTATGGATCAACTAAAAATCCAACTGTATGCATCAGTTCCAGAGTCGGGACTTGTGTTTTTTTGTCAGCCTGGTATTATAGAATGTTCCTTTACATCTGTCACGCTGTGTAGTCTT